GCGTCGCCCGCGGGGTGTCCCGGTACCGTGGGGAGGGCGCGAAGCTCTCACGAGTGCTCCTGGCTGGCCTGAGCCTCGTAATTTTCCGTGTTGAGCTTGTTGGGGTCAAGGAAAAGCAAAAAAGAGCCAACTCCGGTCTGTAGCATCACTGGGGGAGAAGGGTCCCTCCCCTCGCCTTTATTTCATTCCATACCAAAAAGATGGAATAAGGAAATTAAGGGTTTTAAGTGCTATATCCTGAAGTTTAGGGGGTGTCAGTCACCAGCGCGCAGTTGTCCTGGTGGTGCCGGTTGTTTCAAGTTCCTCGAGTTGGATTGTACAGCCTGCGTCAGCCTGGGTGGTTGTTTGTGTTTAACTAACTCTGAGGCCTTCAAGAGGCACGTGGTTAGAAACCCGGCAAAATATCTGTGATTCACAACGGGTAAATGAACTACTAGGCCAAAATATAAATGGTACAGACTATATGAATAATGTTATACATGTGTGTTATATTGGGTACATTCAGTTTTAAAAGTGAGCTTAAGTTGTAGAATGAGGCCATAATCTTTTTCTGTTTTGTGTTTTCTTTTGTTTTGCGTTTTAGGAAGACATCGTTAATCCACAACCCAGATAGTGGGACAAACTAAGAGCTGACTATGTATGTCTTGAGCAATAAAGTAACCAAAACAGGATGTACAACTAGTGTGACGACTTCCTCAGTTCTCTCTAAGGTAAAAACAAAGCAGAGCTCATTTAAACAAAAAAAAAAAGTAGTAGAAGATTAGATAGTTGGAAGCGAAAAAGAGTGATTCAACAACTGTGACCTACCGATGGTTTGAGATAATAGAAGCAGGAACTGTAAGATGAATAAATTCTGCTTGCAGACCAGAATTGTTTCAGGTGCTGTAATGCCGTAGTGTAAGAATTCACCTTTGGTATAGATATCTCTTACGTACCTCTTTAATACCTCTTTAATGTCGCTTAAAAAAGAATCCCAGCAAGGAGATTGGGGGGACATTTGGAAGCGTAATCCAAATATATGACATAGGCAAAGTATGAGTCTTTTTGAAAAGTACATAATGTAAAACAACACTCATTTGATTCCTTTTGGATGGCTTCTAAACTTCCTAGCTTTTTTCTTTTTTCTTTTTCTTTTTAGTACGAGTAGGACAACTTTTTCCTTGCCATCAAATGCCCTTTAAACTAGGAAACTCAAAGCATATCTCATTGGAGTAATTTCAATTACATCAATTTATTTGGTGTTAATTCTGTGTGAGAACTCTAATTCAGGCATGAAGCTGTGTTTGTCACTGTTTGTGGGCACAGAGAAGAGCTTCTCCCTGGGTACCTTCCTGTCTGGTGAAGCCTTGTCAATGATTTTCTTGTTGCTGCTGAAGAGCTAATTGTTAGTGATGTAGTGGACAATACATTTCCCAGGTGGCTTGTATATTTAATTACTGTGTTCACTTACTTAGTATTAGCTTTGCAAATTATTTTAAATGTTAAACTTATGCCCTTCACCATGTTCCATTTGCTTTTTCCTATTGTGATGGCACATAGCAGTCAAAAGCTGAAAGTATTCGTGGTTCTCTGTGCATAGAACGGTTATCAGATGATTCCTCCTGAGTGATAGGAATACTATCAATGAAATTCAAGCAGTTAGAGACCTTCCATTATGTAGGTGTAAGATCACTTTTTCTGTCACACCTTCTGATCTACAAAGAAAAGAGAGAGATAATTCAGAAGTAGGTCTGGATCGTACGATATAGATTGAGTAACCAGGCTAAGCCAATGCTAAAAATCTGCTTAGCTGCACCTAACTGCTAACTGCCCCCACTTTCCTGGGCGTTCATCAGCATTCGTATAGATATGCAGTGATTTGTGTAAGGGAGCTAATCTGATCAGAACTAACTATTTTTTAAATACAGTCATTTGTTTTTGGTAAATTAATTTTAATTCAGGTGACTTTGTGATCTAGTTCACTGTGCAGATTGCATAAACGTTCATGCTGAGCCAACGGAATACACAGAGCAGGTTCACTTTCAATTACAGTAATAGTTTATGAGCATGGCCATGCAGTGTTAATATGACGCTCTCTAATTTTTGAGCTGCTAGATAAAATTAAGAAAACACTTTTAAAACCTATTTCAGCATGAAGATAAACTTTTTCAGCCTTAGATAATGAGAAGATTGTTTTGCCCAAGATCAAAGTGCTTTCTTTCCCTCCAAATTGGTTCACCGAACAAGGTAAACACGTGCTGATACTCATTCTTAGGATTCTGAACATGCACAAGAAGATTATTATAATGATAGAATTAGGAAGAAATTAACCATGGCACATATTTCTAAATTATGGCCAAAGCTCCTTTTGATAGTCCATCATTTGAATCACTGTACGTGCCTGTTACAGCAGTTAAACTCATGTGCATACATATACATTTAGAAGATTTCTACTGAGTTGAATAGAATAACTTATGCATAAAGTTAACTCATTCACGTTGCTCAACAGTGCCGTTGTTAAGAGACTAATTTTTAAAGTGACACTTACTTAATGGAAAGAGAATTCAGTTAATTATTTTCAAAAACCAACAGTGTTAGAAATGCTTCTTTAAAAAAAAAAATTAGTTTGTATTACTGCTTAGTGAGAACTTCCAAAAAATTAGCTTCTAAAACTTGTAGAGTGTACAGAAATCACTCAAACTTTTTTTAATTTTTCTGAGTCGCCTTTGAAATATGCATCTATAATCTGTATGCTGGTAATGTTGTTTTTAAATAATCCTCCTGATTTTTGAAATGTTGTTCACAATATATTTCCAAATGTATCCATCCATACCCCTTTCATGTTATGTGGGGACTGTGTATTGTATTAACAGTATTGTATGTATGATCTGTATCCACTGGATAAATTATTTTTAAAGGAATTGTGTGTGTGTGAGTTTTTTAATTGCTTTATTTCTGCATTGTGTCTTGAAGGTCAACTGTATCTTAATCCCAGGATCACATAATAGTGGTTGCAAAATAGTCCCTTTAATGTACCTCTGGAAATGAACTGGTTGTCCCTTTCACAGGGTGAAATTCAGTATGCCTTTATCTTTCTGAACTTACTGTTTTAAGTATAATCGTGTATTTATGCAGGTTTCCTGCTACTGAAAGTTGAAAGTTTATTTGCAAGACAGTATTTGAAGTCTAAAATGCTTTAAGGACTCACAACTACCATTACATTATCTCTTGCAAGTCATAGAGCCACATTGTTTTTGGGATGGCCTGTCTGTAAGAACTAAAAGACTGTCAGGTTAATTCTGTAGAGATGGCGTATGTCTGTATCCTTGCTCCTTTTGAGACACACTGAAATTTTCAATCACAGCACCAAAAAAGATGCTTACATCTATGGGTTGCCCACAATTCTGGAGAAATGGATGTCAAAGGTGGGGAATAGCTAATTCTTGTATACTATACAAGGGAGGACCTCTGAGACTGTGTGAGTGCATGCTGCCGTATGCAGTACTGGTGACCGATATGCGACGCACTCTAGCCATAAGTTGGAATAATGCAGCATGCACCTTCCTCATGGTTTGCTTTTTGCAAATCAAAGTTTGCAATATGTTCTTTCTATGATGATGGTATGTAAGGGTCATCAGACCCAAATCCTGTGGCGTTCTTCTTTGTTCTACTGGGATTTTTTTCCCCCCGTGGAAATGTTGACTCCGATTCAAAGAATGCTGATTTTTATGGGTTTTTATGTCAGGTTTTCAATATGAGAAAATAAAGCCATTAGCTTTGCAGCCCTGTGCTTTTATGTTAAGGTGCAGTTTGTGTCAGTCAGGGTCTGCCCACTTACACAATTTGGGGCACAGACATTGCTCTTCAAATGACCTGTGCTAAGCTATCTACACAAAGCTGTGTTCTGAAGTTGTGAAGATGTACTATTATCCTTTTCTTTCGTAGACCCTCATTATTGAAGCTGTGACTCCTTATCCACGTATTTATGGAAATAGCATGGAAATAGCTATCAGTTTTATAAAGGTTGTGAGATTTAAAAAAAGAAAAAACTGTGCACTTTGAAGCATGCTCTGCTTGCCTCTTCCAGGGAGAATACAATGCACGTCCTTGTCTCGGTGTTTAGATAGTCCTGCAGTGCCGTCCTACATTACCTGGTTTCTACACTGTGGACTGTTAAAACTTCCCTCTGTGCCTAGGAAACAGCCTTCTAAATTATATGCAGCTGTTCTGACGTCAGTCCTCACTTCTGCCTGAGCTGCTGCAGCGTCTGAAGAGTTCAGCCGAAGAGGATTGCAACCTACTGCGCTGCTACTGGGCAGCGCGTGCCCATAGACTCTGTCTAGTTTTACGGCAGGGATTCACAAAGCAGCATCTTAGCGAATTCCTGCCTCTGTGCCTATTTGGAGGCATTCGTCTTTAGTTGTTTGTGCTAAACTTAATGTACCGTCCTTGTTCCCTCAAAAAATTGCCTTGCTAGTGCAATATATTGGTATAAGTGTTTAGAGACAAAGTCCTTTTAAAACATAAGTATACACTAACTAATCTCACTGTCAGACATGTATTTACTATGCACACAATAGTATATTTTTCCTATTGGGGAATGCTTTTTTCATTTGTATCTCCATGCAAGACTTAAAGTGAGAGAATAGAAGTCATCCCTTATTTCCCTGTGTGCTTGCCCCAACCCAGGAGTGACACGTAGCCTGTCTAGTCTGCAGAAGCCTTGCTAATCAACGCTGTTCAGACCATACTCTTAGAAAGTACATGCCTTTCTCAAAGTTACAGTGAAGAGTGCACAATGATAGAGATATTATTCCCTATTATTCCTGTTTCAAATTCAGCACTGACTTGGCTTTCATCTGTGCTGCGTTCGTCCTGCAACAATTCTGTATACTTAAGTAAACTTTCACCTGCAAGGTGTTAGGGGATCGTTACCGTTTCTTGAATTCAGGGCACAGCACGTGCTTGGGAACCTTCAGAAACAGCTGGGCATAGATAGTTTATTAATGATTGTATTCTTAGGATAAATAAGGGCAATGATTGTCCAGATCAGCAAACGCCTGGTTTTATTGGCCGTTAGGGATCGTGATCTTCAACTGTATTTATGCTGTTGTCTGTGGAGCTGCCCTTGTGGTCTAGTGTCTGTAGAATGATATAATATATCCAGTTGATATATGTGCCTGCTTCCCCAAGACGCACATTTCTAGCACATCTAGGCTTGTAAAAGCATTTGAGAGTTGGGAGCAAGCCATCCACTGATGAGTTGACTTGAACTTAGAAGCAATGCATAGTATGTTGATGGGTTAAAAGTGCAGCTTGAGGGAGCACATGCAAGGTCGCTAAAAATAACAGTGCAAATCAGTTCCTTGAGTTGGCTGAGCTCTGCTAAATGCTTAAATGGGGTATCTTCCCTTGAATCTAAAAGCAGACGAGAGTTACTGGTGGTCTGTAATATGTGTATGTGGACATAGACCAGGACATGAGTTGCAACAGTGTAGCTATAATTTTAATCATTTGCCTTATTCCCATACTTTCTATTTTAAAGTGCCTCTGCTTTCTTCTCAGCAAGGTTGTACATTCTCAACCAATATTATAACACTGTAAAGAGAACGGAGGTATACCGCTGTCTCCCTAAATGGCAGAGGGCATGGCTTTAATGTGTTCTGCTGGCCACAGAACCACACTGTTTTTTCATTATATGAGGTTATATAATCAAGTTTTTGCCTCAGTGTTGCAAAGGGTTTAAGTAGATGCTCGACTCAATGCATTGTGGCATTCTGATGCATGTCAGCATTGCTGAATATAGCTTCTTTCAGCACTGACGTTCTTAGACTTAGGATTTATAGAATAAATAATGTATTTTGAATGTAATGTGTATAATTTATAAAAGGAGAAAAAAGGCTTCTCTGGCGACCCAAAGCTGTGTTGGGTGAAATTAGTTGAAATATTGTTAGGGATTTAAATACAAATAGTGTGCCCACAGTGACAATCCCAGTATCTGACAAGACTGTGTATAAAAGGCTACTCTGGCAAGCTGCCAATGCCCAAATGTTGCTGAGCCTTGTGTTCTTATCTTATCTAGGAGAAAAATAGGATGGGAAAGAGCTTGAGGAGTAAGAGAGAGTTTAGGAGTGGCCTAAGAGTAATGGGATGAAATTGAAATGGAGATTCTTATGTCAGGAGAACGTATCAAGCCACTGAATAATCTCTTGAGAAGTGGAAACTCCATTGGTTAAGCCATTTAATGGAGAAACAAACAAACAAAATGACCAAGAAACAATTTAATTTGTATTAGAGTCTATGCTGACTTATATGCTGGAGTTTTCAAATGTCAAATATGACCAAGTTATAAAATGTAATGATTTACTGCTTGTAGGTGTTTGAAACGTGTGAGATCCTAGGCTTCCTCCAGCGCAAAATAAAGTGCATTATTATGGACTGCTTTCACTTTGTGGGCTTTTTCATTGGGGGAATATGCCTCCGTTCATGCACAGATTTGTTTTGGTGGATGAAATTTTGTACGAATTTGAGTCTTGCATCCCCTACTGTCATTCCACCGTCTATCAACTCTGCCCCAGGTTCTCCCACACACATCCCTAAAACACGACAGTACCAACTCCATTTTATGACCCTGTGCGCGGGTCCCTACATGTGGCTCCCTCTCTGTTCCCTGCCAGAGGAAGAGGTGGCACATGCTTGTGGCTCATCTGGGGCTATTTGTGTGATCACTGACAACCTCGCTGTTCCTTCTCATGGACACAAACCACTTGATAAATGCATCAGGGCGTCGATTTGAGTCTCTCCAACTAGAGAATCAACAAACTTGGTTGAATGGCCAATAGGTTTAGTAGTCATTGAGGGGTAAAATTGGCAGACAGCACAGCTGTGAGTCTTGCCTCCTTAGGAAACAAGACAAAAAAAGCCCCTCCTAACAAGAGCACACCTCAAAGCACTTTCTGGGATTTAGCTCCAAAATTCTGATGTTTGTATCCTTTTTGTTGACCACGGACTTCAATAGCATTGAGGCTTCCACAGATAATACGGATGGTAATTTCCATAAGAAATCTCTGCAGTTAATTCGGTGTGGTGCTGCTACTGATAAGCTTCTCCTGTTGTTTTACTTTCTTAAAAGTCAGAAAGTGCTGTATAATCTTGGTACTCCTTAACTGAAGACTGTTCAGAAACTGAGGGCTGAGGGGGTAGGTGATGAGAACTAAGAAAGCGGTTAACATCTGGAAAGCAAGAATAGAGAAAAAGAAATGTTGGCAGTTTCACGTTCTGCATTTTCTTCCTTTACGCACAATGAATCAGTTTAGTTTATTTGAATTTACCTAGAAAATTTCAGCTGCAGTAATCATTTGGCTGCGTTTCTGTATTAATGAAGCAAGTCTAAACCATATTGTATTTTCATTTTTTAGTTTATTGGCACACTCCTGATATTTTTGTTTATCAGACAGAAACAAACGCAGTCAAGTCCCATTCTTATTTTAGTGGCGTCTCTGGATTAGGGTAAAAGATCCAAGTTAGCTCTGTGCAGTCATTTTGGGTCCAGATAACCTTTTTAATGAAGGTCTAATGCAAAGATCTGTGCTGCTCCTGGGACAGGTTTGGGCCTAGAAGCAGATAAATGATTTTTGTGTGACCCAGGACTTGACTCAAGAAGACGCTGCCTTACCAGAGCCTGCTTGGCTCAGAGGCAGCTCAGGTGCGTCTGCTAGAAATCATCTCTCTTCTGTACGGAGACAACCTAGATGGCTCCATCCAAGTCCATTAGCCGCTGCAGAGCTCTGACCTCGCCGGATTTTGACTGGTTCAGATGACTACCTATGCTCATCAGGACTCATTATTTAGTTTTTTTCTTTCCTTTGTGCGCTACATCTCGGCTCCCCCATTGTTACAGATAATGGAGAATTGATTGCAGTTAGATAAATTAACCGTAAGTAAATGGCAACTGTGCTGCTGTAATTACGACCAGAATTTGGCTTACGCACTTTCTGGATCTCTCCTCCATACTTCCACGTCTGGGTCTTCGTTCTTAATAAAAAGGAAGTATTCTTGGAAATCATCTTACGACATCTGCAGAAACATAGCAGTTGCAGCTTCAGACAGCTCATACATAACCAGCTCATTCTTTAAATCTCTTTTCTTCTGTGTGCCTAAGGAAATGAAGCTTATATGATTTTCTTGGGTACAGACATATGAATACATGTGAGTGTTAGTAACTGTCTGTCTGCCTTGCCCGTAATAACTTTGGATCTCATTGGCCACTTTCATCTGCATTCAGAAGAGAAATAAAAGATCTAAAAAAAAAAAAGTCAAACTGATCTCATTAAATGAAGTTAATGAATATAGCTGCTGAGCAGGGCTGAGAGCACGTACTGGTGATCTCTCGGAGGACAGGTAAGAGCATGAGCTCAGCTAATACCAGATAACAGAGATTCCGCTTGAGATTGCGCGCGAGAGGAGTGTGTTGTTATAAACACCCAAACTTCAAGAAAACATTCAGCTAAAATCTACAACCCATTAGGCAAAGGTTTATTAATAAAGAGGTTTCAGTAGTTTCTTCCTCACAGAATAATTTCTTCTACAAACTTAAGGGACGGATTTGAAACATCTCAGATGCAATGGAAATGATTCTTTGCTAGAGCATCACAGTTATCCCTGATTAATGAACTTCACAAGGGTTCTATTATTCTGGTAAGTGGTGAGGCTATCTTGCCCGTTGCTATTGAACAGATTAATTGAACTAAAAGACGCCTTTCAAGATCACTTTGCATGGAGTCTTATTACCTGCAAAGCCAAGCTTCATCTCTGGCACTAACGTTGCTGCATCTCCCTCAGTTTTGTGCACAGCTAAGGACCTTTGCTTTTGTCATGTAATATTGTGCGGACACAATGCCAGCTGCCTTCAGCTGGTTCTTGTTTAAGAAGATATTTTAAAAAGAAGTGAGAAGATGGTACTAGCTCTACTGTACTCTTCAGCATAATTGTTTTCAAGCACTTGAGATTTTATACTACTGTAGAGAACAAAAGAAAATGGCAAGTGAGAAAACGTTCATCAATGATCACATCTTCAGGGAAGAATATATACTTAGGTGGAAATAATAGCGCTTGCAGACCTGGAAATAGGTGTTACAATTCAAAGCACGCTATCCACTTTGCCTTCACCTCTGAAAACTTCCAGCTCTCTCTGGCCTTTTTAAAGCACAACATGAAATAAGATTTTCTTACTTCCTTGCCGCAAAACGCAGGCACAAGCTGGATTGCAGCTCGGCCCGTCAGCTTCCGCGCATTGACGCTTTCAAATTACACAGAAAGAAAGGTTCAGCTCTTTTTGTTGCTTTTTTTTTTTTTTTTTTGGGGTGGACTTTTTGGTAAAAGATCTGCTGCCGGTTACACGCAGCTCGACCGGCTGGCAGCTGACCTCTGCAAAGGGATCAGAGCACGGACGTGCTTCGTACAGGTGCGTCCCTGGAGCCAGCGGCGTCTCTCCCGCAGCTCTCAGCATCTGCACGCCGAAAAGGAAGAGCAGAGCCGGCGGGGGGGGGCCCCTTCCATCCCTTCGCGGACGGCTCGTACGGTTGACTGGTCGCTTAGCAAAATCGCAGAAAGCCTGTCGGATTAAGCACGGAAAACAAGCGCACGGGGCGAAAATGTCGCCCTGAGAGAGGGATGGCCTGGTGTCAGAAGATTATGCGGAGGGGCCTCAAGTATGATTTTAGCAGCACCTCCTTCCAGCGACCACCATGCAGAAAGTTATACATATGTATGATATATATATATATATATTTATGTATATATATATCTTTTTGCTGCAAACTGTGTCAGCAAACGTGCTTTTTTTTTTTTTAGGCTACAGCTTCATCCTAGAGACTTATTTTTTTTCTTTCCTATTTCCTAATCAGCTATAAAGACATTTCAAAAGATGTAATTCACTGCCTTTCACTGAGGACGACACAAACAAAGGTACAATCGCTGTGATACAGAGAATGACTGCCGGGCTCGGGACTCCGCAGGCGGCGTTGGCGGCTTTCGGGATTACGCGGTTGCGCTCCGTACCGACAAATGACCACAGGGAGCAAAAAACGAAGTAGTCCTTGAGCGTGGTTTTAGGGCGTGGATTTCATTACGGGAGTGCCGGCGTCCTCCTGAGCGTTAACACCTAACCGGCGGCGATTTTTATGTTAGAAAGCCAGCAACGGCCAAATAAGGTCAGACCACATGTCGAGTCTCGCCAGGTTTCCTCTGGCAAAACAGCGGTCGGCAGCCAACGCCGGAAGCGTTAGAAAAGGCGGCAAGCGCGAAAACCGCAGGACGCTTCGGCAGCGGTTTTGGGCAGCGGCTGTGCCGAAGCGACGGGCGAGGCCTCGCTCCCTCCCGAAATCCCGGCGCTGACGGCAAAGCGGGTCCAGCCCCCCCAGCC